AGATTGGAGTCCAGGACCAAAAGTTCATTGAGCCATGGTCTGGGATAATCTAACGGGCTCGGAAACCAGACCTGCTCCCCCCAACAACTACAATCACACTGGGATGGTCCAATAGTGGAAAATATAGCCTCAACAATGCTCCAGTGTGTCAGGGAAGGATAGAGCCCGCCTCCTGGCAATGAGAGCCCCTCATGCAGGTGACTTTCTGATGGCTGTTCCCAACTCCAGCCTTGGCACACGCCTCGACCCACAGACCATCCGCATCGGTGTTGTCCTTCGACTTGCCGCCCCTATTCTCGCCGAACACAGGTGTATTTGTGGCAGTGAAGCAGCAGACCGATTCGGGTACCATGGTCTCGTGTGCCGTAAATCCGAGGGAAAGTTTGTAAGACATGAGGTTAATAACATTATCAAGAGGAGCCTCACAACAGCCGGATGCCCAGCAGTAAGGGAGCCACCCCAGCTATGCAGATCTGATGGCAGCCAGAAGCGTCCAGATGGTATCACCCTTCAAGCAAGGACAGACGGGAAGCAGGTGGTGTGGGACTATACATGTGCATCTTCCTTGGCTGATACCTATCTCCAATACACCAGGGAGGAAGGAGGGGCAGCTGCCAGCTTCAGGGAGTCCCAAAAGTCTAAAAAAATATGGAGAACTTGCCCATCATTATATGTTTGTTCCCATAGGCTCAGAGACCCTTGGCTCATGGGGAAAGAATGCATCTAAATTCCTTAAGGAGCTGGGAAAAAGACTCATCAGGGTAACTAGGGATCCCAGGGCAGCTAGTTTGTTGTTCCAGCGGCTCAGTGCAGCTGTTCAAAGGGGCAATGCCTGCTGTATTTTGGGCACACGCCCCAGCTCTGAGGAGCTGGATAAGATTTTCGCCTTATAATCGGTGATACACACGTAACAACATGTACCGTATATGCCACCTTTATATCAACAATGTATCTCTTAAATCTTCTGTACCATATTATATATATACATATGAATGTGTGTATTCGTGTGTATGTTTATGAGAGTATGAGTTAAAACTGGCGAGGTGATAATAATGGATGGAAATTTCTAGAAATAAAAGATGTTTAAGTGAATCGAATATCATGTTCTTGAGACTGAAATCTTACTATATAGGGTTAGAATAAGTTTACACATTTTGAGGTGATAGGAGTGTGAAGTAAAGGGGACTGATGGCAGGGGACTGAAGTAGGTGAGAATACAGTTGTTTTGGTTTACTAGAGGAGAGAAAGAATAAAAAAAGTACAATACCCTGACTGGAACAATACACAAATAACTCGCACATAGAAACTTAAGACGACGTTTCGGTTCGATTTGGACCATTATTTTTTCACGCGAAGGGAAAAACTGTTGTGGCAGGTGTATTAGGGGGGACTGGAATGTCTAGTTCAGTGACAATGCTGGAACTCCGTATGGTAACCACAGTAAGATCAAATATGAGGTGACACACGGGAAGGGTCATAAACGAATGAAGGAAAAGGTAAAAAGGAGAATTATTTCAGTAGAAGACAAAATGAAGGGATTTAACAAGAGGATTGTTGGTGAATAAGATATAAGAAAGGAGTGTCAGAGGGAGATATGAGTTATCGTCGAATGGTTGTCTGATGTGAAAGTGATGAAGAGGTCGAAATGGTGTCATGGGGTGTATGGTCACGGAAGAGTGGGTGTCATAGGTGTATGGTCACGGAAGAGTGGGTGTCATAGGTATATGGTCACAGAAGAGTGGGTGTCATAGGTGTATGGTCACGGAAGAGTGGGTGTCATAGGTATATGGTCACGGAAGAGTGGGTGTCATAGGTGTATGGTCACGGAAGAGTGGGTGTCATAGGTATATGGTCACAGAAGAGTGGGTGTCATAGGTGTATGGTCACAGAAGAGTGGGTGTCATAGGTGTATGGTCACAGAAGAGTGGGTGTCATAGGTGTATGGTCACAGAAGAGTGGGTGTCATAGGTGTATGGTCACGGAAGAGTGGGTGTCATAGGTGTATGGTCACAGAAGAGTGGGTGTCATAGGTGTATGGTCACAGAAGAGTGGGTGTCGTAGGTGTATTGTCAAAGAGTGGGTGTCATAGGTGTATGGTCACAGAAGAGTGGGTGTCGTAGGTGTATTGTCAAAGAAGAGTGGGTGTCATAGGTGTATGGTCACGGAAGAGTGGGTGTCATAGGTGTATGGTCACAGAAGAGTGGGTGTCATAGGTGTATGGTCACGGAAGAGTGGGTGTCATAGGTGTATGGTCACAGAAGAGTGGGTGTCATAGGTGTATGGTCACAGAAGAGTGGGTGTCATAGGTGTATGGTCACAGAAGAGTGGGTGTCATAGGTGTATGGTCACGGAAGAGTGGGTGTCATAGGTGTATGGTCACAGAAGAGTGGGTGTCATAGGTGTATGGTCACAGAAGAGTGGGTGTCATAGGTGTATGGTCACGGAAGAGTGGGTGTCATAGGTGTATGGTCACAGAAGAGTGGGTGTCATAGGTGTATGGTCACAGAAGAGTGGGTGTCATAGGTGTATGGTCACGGAAGAGTGGGTGTCATAGGTGTATGGTCACAGAAGAGTGGGTGTCATAGGTGTATGGTCACAGAAGAGTGGGTGTCATAGGTGTATGGTCACAGAAGAGTGGGTGTCGTAGGTGTATTGTCAAAGAAGAGTGGGTGTCATAGGTGTATGGTCACGGAAGAGTGGGTGTCATAGGTGTATGGTCACAGAAGAGTGGGTGTCATAGGTGTATGGCCACGGAAGAGTGGGTGTCATAGGTGTATGGTCACAGAAGAGTGGGTGTCATAGGTGTATGGTCACAGAAGAGTGGGTGTCATAGGTGTATGGTCACAGAAGAGTGGGTGTCATAGGTGTATGGTCACGGAAGAGTGGGTGTCATAGGTGTATGGTCACAGAAGAGTGGGTGTCATAGGTGTATGGTCACAGAAGAGTGGGTGTCATAGGTGTATGGTCACGGAAGAGTGGGTGTCATAGGTGTATGGTCACAGAAGAGTGGGTGTCATAGGTGTATGGTCACAGAAGAGTGGGTGTCATAGGTGTATGGTCACGGAAGAGTGGGTGTCATAGGTGTATGGTCACAGAAGAGTGGGTGTCATAGGTGTATGGTCACAGAAGAGTGGGTGTCATAGGTGTATGGTCACAGAAGAGTGGGTGTCATAGGTGTATGGTCACAGAAGAGTGGGTGTCAGAGGGATGAGTAGTGGTTGTTGGAATGATGAGGTGAAAATCGTGTTTAAGATGGAAGAGATGTGAAGGAATTGATGTGAGGTGAACTGTAAAGGAACAGAAGCACAGTTATAAAAGTGAGGGATGGAAAAGAAGAGTAAATAAAAGTATGGGTGAAATAGTCTTTTTTTTTTTAATGAAAATAAGTTTTGGGGAAAGTTGAACATTCAAATATGAACACTTTCTATTTTTCCTCCGCCATTTCGTTGAAAGATGTAATATATTGGTCGTTTATAGTAATTTATCTATTCATTTAGGTGAAATGCATGGTTTTATAGATTTGTGTTACCTAAATTAATCCAACCTAACCCAAAAACACCCAAATTGACCTGACCTAATTCAAAATACAGATAATCTGAAATGAAAAAAAAAACTGTTAGTGTTCAAAAAATTAGGCCA